AATGTCACACAGATAAGACTGATTAGACACCAGGTAAGCTATACAATGTCACACAGATAAGACTGATTAGACACCAGGTAAGCTATACAATGTCACAGATAAGACTGATTAGACACCAAGTAAGCTGTCCGATGTTGTACAGATGAGACAGATTAGAAAACAGGTAACTTATACAATGTCACACAGATAAGACACAGACAGAAGCTAAGCTACACAATGTCACACAAATCAGGCACATTAGAAACAAAAACTTAAACAGAATCAATTAAATAATCTTGTATATTAACAGAATATTTCATATATTAACATCTATATTTTTTAAATCCGACTAGAAGTAGACTAATGGCAAACTCATATTCTAAAGAAAGCAGGTTCCAGTGCCCGTAACAAAAGGTTCTTCGTGACTTCATTAGATATTTAGTTGCGACGTGATTTCTCCCTAAAGGAAGATTGCAGTCGGAAAAGCAACACCTTACACTGCAAGAATATTGCTGAATAAAGCTGTTATATTCCTGGTTCCTTATACATTGTAAGAATTATGGGACATGCACCTTCCATTATGAATCGTCATGGAGACAGCAAACCTTCGTACAATTAAGGCATTGTACACATCATGAGCACTAAATAATTGAATCATTGCGATCATTTTGATGTATTTTGTTATCAGCTGATGCAATTTAATCCCTGAAATGCGATATTTGTGACAAGAAATGATATCAAAAGCTATAATAAATTTGACAACAAAAAACCTGTGATATCAAATGCGATGTTCATTTGATATCAAAAGCAATAGTATATTAAATATCATATTTGATAGAACCACTATTAATAATGAATATGACCTTTCAACAGTGAATTTATATTCATCAAAAGAAAGGTCATCTGCTGTAAACAAAAATACCTATTTATCTCTTAAGATAAAAATATATAAATAAAATTTTGAATACAAACCATAACATTTCTCATGATAGCATTAAAAAAAAAAAAAAAAAAAAGAGCTAAGTGCCTTAATGGTCATCTGACTATAAAGACCAAAGTATGAAAGGGGCAAAATACCGCTAGGCCTAAAATAAATTCCTCAACCACTCTTACAGCTTACACAGAAGACATTGTAGGTTCATCAAGACATTTTCTGCAAACTTGAAATAATATTCTTTATACTTGCACTACACATATGCCATTACTCCAGACGTATTGCTTGTTGAAAAAGCAAAGCTACAGGCCAAATATCAAGACCTTTTCAGTTATTGAGAAAAAGTTGCTTTAACATTTCAAAATATTTGGCCCCTGTTTTCTTGAAAGTTGGTCCAATATCAGCACTCTGGGCCTTTGGTTATTGGGACAAAGTCATTTAAACATTTTAACGCATTTGATACCTATGACCTTGAGTGTGTCAATGTCTTTCATATTAACAAAGTTGGTAGCCCTTCATCCTAGCATGCTACAGGTCTAATATTATCTTTGGCATATTAGTTATTGAGAAGAAGTCATTTAAAGATTTTAACATATTTGATCCCTGTGACCTTTCAAGCAGATCAAGGTCATTCCTATTAACTAAGGGTAGAATCAACTTTCTGAAGATCAGAAATGATGCTCCACTCCTAGTGATGTTTCAGACCAAATCTGGTTGAAATCTATACAAGCATGAAAAAGGAGTAGCATTCTGAAGAAAACTATTATCTTATTTTTCCCTTTTTGGACAAATTTGGTTGAAATCCATCCAGGTATGAAAGAGGAATAGGGTTTTAAAGTTTACGCACAACGCAAGCAGGACAATGACAGACAAAGCAAAATGGCTATATGTCAACTTGACCCTTTGGGTCAGATGACCTAAAAATTTGGCAGCAAAAATATTTCTTAAAATATGACATTGCACAACCCAAAATGTGAATATATACAATCTAGGTAATGGTAGTTGACATTAAAAGGATATCAATTAACATGATTCAAAACAGATATATCATATATAATATTATATACATACAACGCAACAAAACGAGAGATGACATTTCAGAATTTGGGAATAACAAAACCATCATTTATATACAAGGAAATATAGATGGTGGAGGGAAAGAGAGAAATACTAAAATGCATTTTTTTTTTCTGAATATTTTTCTTCAGGTTGGTAATGTCACAAAACATTGCCAAATTGACTGCAGTTCATTGTTACCATCTGGTGTAATTTTTGGGTCTATAATCTGTTTACCATCTTGTCACACTATTTTTGACCTTAGTGTACATAGGATTTTAGTAAAGTCGAAAAAGTTGGTTGGTTCTGTACTATCTCATACAACTACATACATTAGTGCTAGTATGCTCCACACTGGTCATTTTTCTGATGAAGATGACTGTGTACTCATTGAAATATCACACTCTAATCTTCTACTGGTTGTGTTTATAATAAGAACTTCTATTCTATATACAAATGTTAAGCTTAAGTTAAGTATTGGCAACAATATATACATAATTATGTACGACTACCTTTATGCATGGCCAAATCTGACCTCTGCATTATCCAAGAAAAAGAATAAAGTTATATAACACATAGAGATGGTCCCCTTACAGAGTATTCATATCAACTTGAGAATGGAAAATGATTCTTTTGTAAAATTAGAATGATACAAGAAAGAAAGCAACACGAATCTTGGTCATGATTTTTAGGAAAAAGTTGCTGGATGGACATGGGAAGCTATGGTATGGCATAATCTAACCAACTCAATGGACAAAGTGAGCTAACAAGAGATATCAAATTTTCAGCTTTCACTAGAAAAAATTTTATTTACAATTATGTTATTTCATTTCCCCAAAAGATGAGTAATTCTAAAGCTCTAAACTAGATATCAACAAAATTTCTGCATCAAAGCAGAAAATGACAAAAGATTTCCAATACTTTCATTGTAACAGATCCACACATCCCTCAGCACTCAGCATTCATGAGGGATTCATCCAAACAATTCATGCTTCAGACGAAATTGAGACAAAATCCTGTCATTCCTATAGAAGAAGAATTTTCAAGAACTTGTTCTATATAACCTTATGGGCAAATGGGCTCCGCCCCTCCTATTGGGAGGCAAAATCTAATCATTTCTAAAAGAGGAAAAGGATTTTAAAGTCTTTACCCTATTTCCCTATTGGACCCCTCCCCAGGGGGCTGAGACCAACCATCTACATAAAACTGATTCTACTTCCACTGATGATGGTTTGGGCCATATTTGGTCAAAATCTGCTCAGTCGTTCATGAGTTCATGACTAGTTACAGTTTGTAAGAAAAGTTGGCGGTCAGTCGTTCATGACTTTAATATAGTGACATTTTGTAGGAAAAGTCGTATGGATGGACAATCAGAAGGTGGGGTGTATCATAAGGTCACTTGGCACTTCGGGCTTGGTGAGTTAGAGGAAAGAAAATGATTTGTGTCTTTTAATTAGAATGGATAAAAAGTTATCTTTAACTTTCTAAATATGGAGTTAAACTTTGGCCCCAACTGTAAAGTCGGAAGAAACACTAACTCCTTGGCTATAGTCAAGCCTTTTTCTTTTGTTACATTGTCTGAAATAGTGATGTCTATGAAATAATATATAATCTGTTCAGCATGGAGACTATAGATGACATTTCCTATACCCATGGTAAATTGTAATATTCTAATGATCCCTCAGTCTGTTTGTCCCTAACAAGGTCACATGTTTTCGTAATACATGATATACTGTGTCCACATACACAGATCATCAGTCCACATATCAACCTGCCACTTTTACTATCTCATTGAAACAGGCTCTATAACCAACAACTGCATTCATATCTGATTATTTCTATGTATGTATATTGGCCTTTGATCCACATATTGACTGTCGTCACTGATCTGAATACTGACCATCATGAACTGTAGATTTCAATTCCAGCTCCCATCACTGATTCACATACTGGAGGTCTGATTCACCTACCAGTTGTTACTGCTGATTCACCTACCAGTTGTTACTGCTGATTCACATAGCAGCTGTCATCAGCAATTCACTTACAAGCCATTATCACCGATTCACATACCAGCAGTCATCACTGATTCACATACCATGGCTAGTTGTCATGACTCATTCAAACACTGGCTGTGAAAACTGATTTGTATACCAGCTGTTACCACTGATTCACATAGCAGCTGTTACTGCTGATTCACATAGCAGCTGTTACTGCTGATTCACATACCAGCTCTTACCGCTGATTCACATAGCAGTTGTCATCACTGATTCATATGCCAGCTGTCATGACCTATTCACATATTCACATACCAACTATCAGGACTGCTTCACACAGCAGTTGTTACTACTAGTTCACATACTGGCTGTCATCACTGATTCACATACAACGTCATCACTGATTCAAATATCGGCTATCATCACTAATTCACATACTGGCAGCCATCATTGATTCACATACCATGTCATCACTGTTTCACATAACCGCTGTCATCACTGATTCACATAACCGCTGTCATCACTGATTCACATAACCGCTGTTATCACGGATTCATATACCAACTGTCATCTCCTCCTGTCTTTGCAGATTCCTACTGAGCTGATGCTATTGATTCACATTGGACTGTATATTGATTCCAGTACCTGCCACACATGTTATCTTTATTGTTTAACAATTAAATTGCCATCTTCTTACATTCTCTGTGTACTGGTTACTGAAGTTGTACTGGTCTCTTCAGATGCATTTTTTTCATACATTAACTGTGTTGGTCACTCCAGCTGTATTGGTCATTCTTCATACATGCTGGTCACTCCAGATGTACTGGTCACCTTCCTACATGAACTGTGTTGGTCACTCCAACTGTATTGGTCATTCTTCGTACATGCTGGTCACTCCAGCTGTACTGGTCATCTTCCTACATTAACTGTGCTGGTCACTCCATCTATACAGGTCATCTTTCTACATTAACTGTGCTGGTTATTCCAGCTGTACTAGTCATATTCATACGACGTGTTTCAACCCTATCCCCTATCTGTCAGAAAAGCAATATTGGCTTTTGACGATTGTCCAATACATCTGCAAATAGAATAATGATATTAAAGTAATGGATTAAGGGTGAGGGAGTGACATATTTTGAAATATGATTTGCCTGGTCAAAACTTCAAGTAGAAAGTATCTGCAGCAGTAAATGAATAACCAGTATGTATGGCTTCATTATAGCTGTTATAAATAGATAAATTTAGTGAATTTAATTTCATCCAATTATGGAAGATGCAAGTTTGTCATATATGATCACACCTATTCATAGTAATAATAACATTTTTTTACTTTTTTGAGTTCACAGTCATACGAAAGCCTATCCTATGATATGTTGACATTTACATGGCAAAACAACAATACAAAATAACACTTAATCTTAATCTGTGTTTCTATTTATCTTCATAGTAATTCTCCTAGAATTCATACATTAAGCAGCTCTCTATGTTCCTTAATTTTGATTCTTCTAACTTTACACTTAGTCTAGCTCCCCTCCAAAACAAAAAACTTCGGACACTGTTTTAGACAAATACAGATATTCTACCATTAAATAAAATGTATTGCGTAGTTACATTTTTTATTTATGATATACTTTTGTAATCTGCTTGTATTGATTATTGAAAGAATATACAATATTTTGTATTATCAGAAATTTTTATGAATTGGCAACATTTTTTTCTGGAAGAAAATAATTTTTGAAGAGACACTTTTGCAATTTTCATTTCACTGACATGAATTATTTTCAAGACATTGTCATCGTTTAAATTTTCTTGTGAGCAAATTGAGTATAAAAACAAGTAAATCAAAAGAATGATTTGATGTTGTTTTGATGGTAATGTATTTGTGCATAGATTCCATCAACATCAATGTTAAACGAATCGATAGCTAACGTTTTTCACATTATTTCACATTATTGTCATGACAATTAATTCCGAAGTGGAAGGCTTGAACCTGCTGACAATTAGCTTCACCAAATCAGGACATAAGACCCACAGTCAACTGAGCCCAGAAAACAGAGGGCACATGGCAGCATAAAAGCAGTTAACTTGCAAATGCAAGAAACTGTACAGCATTCAATCATTCCAGGTATCTACATGCCAAATACCTATGTCTTATAAAGTTTTCGAAGAAACTGTTAACTGATTTTAACGAGAGTTCACCCTTTATGTTAAATATTATTCTGAGTTCCTAAAAGAGCATAACTTTCCAAAAAGGGGAGGTATCTTAACCCTCAAACTGATATAGATCTACAATGTATACAGATTAGAGATGGATCTACAGACAGATGGATGGAGGAATGGATTGACACAACCTAATTCCAGTATACCACCCCACATCCACCTTCGTTGTGACAGCGATTCCTGACTCGCTGATTATGATTTCACAATGCAAGCGCTCACCTGTGAGTGTGAAACTACAAGTGACATTTGTGCATGAAGGATGCAGGGGAGATAATCCATAATGTATGCAACAGATTATAAATGGTTCATTTTGCATTCAAGAATGTTTCATGAAAAATTAAAGGTCCAAAGTGAGGAGTGCCCACATTACATTAAGAAGGAGTAATGTTTTGAAGCAAATATTGTTTAACTTCCATTATAGGGGCCCTGCCCTAAAGTTCCTATGGCTCAAATCTACTTTCTGAATTTCAGAAAAGATTTCCTATCCACAATGTTTCAGACCAACTTGAATTTTTCTGAATTAAAGAAATGGTTCCTGAATCCCAATTATGTTTATGATCAGATTTGGTTGAAATCTGCAGAAATGTTAAGCAGGAGTAGTACTTAAGAGAACAGGAGGCCCAATGGGCCTGTATCTCTCATCCGATATTCAATGATAATCAAAAATCCATTGGCATTCAAAGAAGGCACATCCAATGAATTTCAGCCAACTTTCACAACAAACAGCTTCTAAAACTCAATTCTAAACAGTGACAGTTAGCCCCTGGATTATAGGTAAATGCCGTTCTGTTTTTTCTCGAATTTGTTAGGCTTTTGGCCTGGAAACACATTTCCACCAAAATATCATACTTCTGTGCATTTCGTTTTGTTCTAAGTCCTTTAAAGTTATTGAAAATTTGACCCCTGTGACCTTGCATTGTATAACGTTATTTTTTTCAGCAAACTTTGTCAGGCTTCATCCTAACAACCCACCAGCCAAATATGACATTTGGTCTGCTGATTTTTGAGAAGAGGTTGTATAAATGGAAAAGTTGACATCGGATGGATGCCGAACTTTCGGGCCAGATAAGCTAATAAAATGTTTAAGGACAATGGAAGACACATGATACCAACAGGTCATCTTGACCTGAAAAAAATTACAGATAATTGGATAAGCCTAGCAGCCTTGACAATCATTTGTGACGAGCATTATGGAATATACAGGTTACAGGGTAAGTAGCTATCCAGTGTCATGAAAAAGAAATTGTGACACTGATCATAAAAAGCCAGTGTCAATCCATGCATACCATCAAAACTCTCATCCTATACTAAATAATTTATAAGTTATTTCCAATGCAAAATAAATGTTATGCATAAAAATTCAATTTTGCTATATAAGTTAAAGTAAACTTAAAAATTAACCTCTTCCCCTGGAAGAAATGTGAGACCCTTGGGTCATGAAACTCACAACTTTCAGTAAAGTATCAAACAATCATGAAGAACGTTTGATTCTATTATATCTGGATGTTAAGAAGATTTTGAAAATTGAAAATCAGTTTGAACTTTTACTAGTAATTACTAGTAATTTTATACAAGTTTAAAAGATTTCCAATGGAAATTAAGCAAAGTTATACCTCCAAAATTTTCAACATGTCATGGCTTGTCATTAAACATGCAATATAATTCAGAATGCCATGGTGTAGCCATCATGAATATTTGCCCCTCCCCCTTCCTCCCCTTCCACTCCCCCACGAAATATTCTGTTGATTTGTGTCTTCCAGGCAACTACAGCCCCATCCCTAACCTTTATGACAATGTCTGATATTTTTTGTCAGATTTTGACTTACCTGCGACTATCCGATGCCAAGGAAGTGTGATATAGGTAAGATAGGAGTTGAGAGCCACACTATTAAGCCTTTTTCTTTCCTTGAAGATTTGCCAGGCTTGTCCAAAACTTTTTCCAAGAAAACCATCATACTGTTCTTTGTTTTTCAATTCTGAAATTATCAAGAAAATGTTGGAGATACAGACAAGTTCTGTCCACAGATCAAGGTGTTGGTGTCTTCCCTACTAAAGATATAAAATAAGAGTTGAAAAGATATAAACCAGGAGGTGTTGAAAAGGACCCTGTATAGGGATTTTGGTCCGGAGCACTTTTTCATTACATATTATTAATTTCTTATTGTTAATGAACCATTATCAACAGCCTGGACCTTTTGGTTATTGAGAAGAAGTCTTTTTAAGAATTTAACAAATTTGACCCGTGACCTTTCATAAGATGTACCTTCCTGAATGGTGCCAGCCTCAACTTCATGACATCCATCAACATCTAGTGTATGATCAACTCTCTCCGTCTCTGATCGTGACTTCTTCATGCTCATTCTTCGTATGCCACCTCGCACCAGGGAGCCAAGTGAGGAGCTAGGGTCACTCATTCTCCGTTGTGTGTACTGGTTCTGCTGAAAATTTATACTACAGTCAGACTACTTAACTCAAAAAAACCTCAATCTGTTTCTGATCACTGTCTCTGCTGCGAATATACATGTATAATAATATATCACTAAGGTGCGGGATATTCTAATGATAAATCAATACATTGCTCAATAAAAGTACTGAAAATACTGGGAGACATATCTCTAAAACCAAGGGTGTAAGTTAAAAGGTACTATTAAATCAGTTATTGATGAGGCAGTCACTCATAGCAATAAACAAAATAGAACAAACTTGGTAGCATTCTCTCCTCCAAGCATCTTACAGGCCCAATATCAGCACTCATGACTTTTGCTCCTTCAGTAATTTATCTACCATGATTACTATGAAAATGGTGGTCTTCTGAATTCTTTTTACAACTCTTCTTACCTGTGAAAAAGCACCTAGTGCTTTTACTGTAAACAGTATTATATCTACCTGAACAAGCATCAACAGACATTTACCTATGATCTGCTGACCTTGACATGTGGTCAGCTGGTTTCTCCTTTGAATTTAGTCAAGTTTGCTTCATAGCGTCATAACAAAATAGTAACTTAAATATTAAAAATATGACCTTTAACCTTGTGGCCTGGACCTCTGATTGGGTGACACTTTTCATTTCATTCTGGTTAACTTTACTTCTTGTCATACATAGTAACTTAAATATTCAAAATATGACCTTTAACCTTGTGGCCCGTACCTCTGATTGGGTGACACTTTTTTATTTGATTCTTGTTAACTTTCCTTCTTGTCATACAAACCATTTACTGGAAATCACCAGTAAAATATTCAAAATTTGACCTACACCTGTGACTGCATGCTGACCTTGATTTATATTTATCTGATTCTGCATCTGATTCTGGTCATCTTTCCTCCATAATATCACAACAAAATAAGGTCAACTTCTCATTCAACTTCTGTGAATTTTGTCTTTATCACAGTACATCCCTAGTTCTATTTACAAATGATTTTTCATCCTCTGAGTTTGAGCAGTAGTAGCTGTATACACACTGTAAGAATACATTATCCAATAAATAAAAAAAAACCAATTCAAACATAAAATGGTATAAAAAAGCAAAATTGCATTTCCCCGTGTTATTTGTACTGCTCTGTACAAATCAAACCTTTAATTACAACATAAACTTCCCTACAATGTTTTAATGTGTATTTAGGTCATCTACATGATTTACTGCATTGTATAGAGGCTTATGCATATGTTAATCAGGGATAACTTTAGGAACTCACTTCCTGTTCATGACACATTGTGACCAAGCCAGCTGTGCAAAAATATTCATCAGTGTGAGAGATATCATTTCATGTTGTGTGAAAGATGTGTGGTGTAAGAGTCGTTATATATAAATGCAAAAATTAGTGTATGTTTAATGTAAGTAAATTGTATATATTTTATAAGTGTCAATATTGTAAATTACTTTCATTTTACTAGTGGTAGATGACATTGCCATTTCATTTTTGAAAAGAATGCCATGAAAATGGAGGTCAAAGGTGAACATCAAAAATTAGCAAGACTGAGCAAATCTTTTCGATGGCGTAAATGTGACACATTCCTAATTCAATTTCTTTGGCTGCAATAGAAAGAACTATGCATATTTATCAATGAAAAGAAAAGTTTATAAATGGAAAGTATTACTACCAGACGGGGACACAGTAGAAGCCATCCTTATATAGACATGCACTGAAAGTCTACTATCGATTCTAACAAACAAACATTGATGTTTGTTTAAAAATCATTTTCTTTTCCACAACTACCACAATGACCACACTGACCTGTTGTTGATCGCTTTCTTGGCCATCAAAGTCTTCGAGAGGAAAGTTCTCCAAATCTGGTGTTTCTGGTCCTGATCCTTCTACCCGACTGACTGCTACTTCAGCATGTCCTTTACTTTGTGGGCCTCTCATCCTCACAAACTCAACTCGTTTATGACTCTTGATCCATCCCAGAGACATGGTCTGTACCATTTTTGATGTCAAACTTGCCTATAACACAAAATGGAACCATCTTAGATGATAAGCTTGTCTTTCACACAGACCTGTATCATCTTAAATGTTAAAATTGCCTATACCACAGGAGTGTACCATCACAAATTTCAAGTTTGTCTAACACATTCTATATTCTAGCTTATCCCATTTCAGAGAATACAGAACTGTGTTATATCAAACACCAATCTATCCAATAGAACGTTTTATTTATCATTTCTATGATGGAGCAGTTTTATGTAAATAAGTTCAAATTCAAATTTTTTTATTTAAGAAATTTTGTTTATTATCTTAACTATTTCATTTATAAAATTTGTCATTTTGCATTTGCTCTGAAGGATTTTTATCATGTGCCCATGTTCAAAACTAGATCAGCTATGATATTCTCTTACCCGAGCATCATAAACCTTTTTCAGAGCTTCATAGCGTATTGATCCAAGAAAGATAACTCCCTGTAGATTCCCCCTTCTGTCAGCTGCTGTTAGTTCCACACATACCATCTCACTATCTCGCACAATGATGTCGCCAAAAGCCTGAAAATATCACACAAGACTACAATATTCAAAGTTTACAAAATTTTCATAAACATTTACCTATGCATGCCTCAGACCAAATTGGGAAAGAATCCAGGCATTCCTTAAGAAGTATTTTAAAAAATATTCTCCAGTTCCAACATTGGGCCACACCCCTTCCACCAAAATTTGGACAAAATCCAATAATTCTTTTATAAGGAGTAGCATTTTAAAGAATTATCTCTATTTCCTCTAATGGGTCCAATATTGATGGTAAATGCAGAAGGAAAACTGAAGACATTCAGTTAATTGGAATGGTGAAAAACCCTAACAAATATTTACCTCTTCAAAATTGTCGACAGTGAAGAAGATATTAGGATAAGTAATTTCTTCTTCTGTTCCTTTGCTGTCCATCCTTCGTCGACTAGGAGATGGGTATACTCTCTAGCAAAAGAAAATCCCAAAACAAAACTTAGTGTGGACAATTTGAAGGAGCCATGCATATTGACTAGCATCAGCTGTGCTATATTAGTGGTGAAATATGCAAATTAATTGTAATGTTTTTAAAGCCTTTAAAAGTTAATACAAGTGGTGTTATGTTACATGTGATCTAGTAGTAAGGTGCAGTTTATAGTGATCTCCAACTCTGGTGGTGTCTTTAATGAGGTTGTTCCACAAGCTGTTTTGATTGTACATTAAAAGGGAACATTGTTGTGAAAATAAATTGCTTTCTGACCCAGAATTACTGATATTCTTCACCCTATCTAATGTTATATGATATCCTCTAAATCATATTGGGAATGTTACTTTAACAGGTATTGTAATGTATTGTACATGATACCATTCTATTTTTCATCAAAGTTTACTCTATTGTAAACCTTGATCGAATCATATTTCTTTTAATTCAAGGTTATAAAAAAAACAAAAAAAAAACATGAGGTCCATGGCCAGGGGCCTTAACGGTCATCTGAGTATAAAAACCTATATATGCAAGAGGCCAAGTAGGCCTAACAATAGTACTCAACGACAAATCAGCTTACAAAGATGTCATTGTTGGTTCATAAAAACATTTTCTGCAAACTTGAAATAATATTCTTAATACACACAAATGTCATTACTCCAGATGTTTAGTTTGTTTAAAAAGATTTTAAGATCTGAACTCATTTGACTCAAGAGACCTTGAATATAGGTCAAGGTCATCTATTTGAATGAATTTGGTAGTCCTTCATCCACTTATCTTAAAGAACCAATAATTAAACTGCATCCACCATTTTATTATAAAGAAGTTGTGAGATGATTTTAAGACATTTGACCCTTGTGACCTTTAAAAAGAGAAAAGTTCAATCACATGAACAAAATTGGTTGCCCTTCATCCCAGTATGTTACTGGCCAATATAATGAACTTAAGCTTTTTGGCTATGGAGGAGAAGCCATTTAAACTGTCCCACATATTTGACACCTGTGACCTTGAAAAAAGACAAAGAATTTCAACACCTTGGACCTTTTGGTTACTGAAAAGAAGTCATTTGAGTGAAAAATTGACAAACGGCAGACGGTGAACCGTGAATGATGATGAAAGGAACACTATAGCTATGCATAGGTCATTCTGACCCTTTGGGTCAGATAACCTAATAGAAAGCTTACCTGTGAAAATTTTTTCAGGATTTGAAGATCAGCTTCACTTGTTCTTGTACAAACAGCACACGTGACCGTATACTCAAACTACAAGATAATTAAACTACTTTTTACTTTTACTGACAAAAAATTTGCTAATCCTCATACATACAGGAATGGGAAGCTACACAACAGTTTAATCCTAATTGCGATTCATTATATAAACAATAAATACCACAATCATGCATTATGCAGTCACAACTGTCATCAAGTCATGTCTACATTTCCCTGTTACCATGGCAACCAACATTTCGAAGAACCATGGGAAAAATTCCTATTACATGTTAAATGGTACTGTTCAACTAAGGTGTGAACCAAATTAAAGTGATTTGGGTGCTCAGAAAAACATCTTTTTCTGAAAATGCCAGGCATTTTTAAAGTAGGCTTACTCTCTGAAAGGGAGCTGAGGGTTGGTTTAGAGTTTGGGATTAGGGTGGGGGTTGGGGTAGGGAAGAGGAGTTAGTGCTTGGAAAGAATACAAAGTCACTTTCCGGTTTGATATGTTTTATGTAAGGTGGGGTGGGGCAATCATATTTCGCACTGTGATTAATTCAAAGCTTCCTACCAAATTTGGTCAAAAACTGTTCAGTTGTTCATGACAAGTAGTGATTTTTTGTAAAAAGGTGATATACACAGGGTGACAGACAAAAGACGCCTGATGTTGCACCATGACATAAGATCAGTGGTCCTTCCATTAATATGAACTAAAAATTATCTTATTTTCTTTCTTCGAATACAAATCTTCCATCTCTAAATCCCTATGAAGGCATTAGTCTGTGTGACATTCTTATGAACAGATTGCTAACCTGATGTAAAATTATATTGAGGTATACAGTTTCCTCCCAGTTGATTGTCTTGTCCTCAAGGGATGGAACATTCTTTGAGGCTCTACGGTATACTTCGATCTCCGTCTGACAACACAACAAAATAAAGAGATCCATCATCATTGCAATCAATATCATAACAATGAATGAATTCTTATACAAATAAAAGATGTCTGTTACATAGTTTAGATACAACAATATAATGATTTTATAAAATGTACTCTAATAATGCAGATTACAATACATATATATCTGGTTGAGCTATAACAAGAGACATATTGGCACCCACCATTTGAACTTTATATGTTCATTAAAAGTAGAAATTTTTCCTTTCTTTTTTCTTCTTTACAGTTTTTGCTCTTGATTATATAAAATTTGATCATTCTCAAAAAGGAGTGATAGCAAGAAGCTCATAGGCACTGTAGAGCCCACCTTATTTACTACTTTGTTGATCTTGTATCTATTTCCCCTATAAGGCCCCATCCCTCCGTGAGTTGGGTTCAGATGCACTGTTTATACAAAAGTTATTCCCCTTCATCCTAGAATATAATCATTCCTAATGGAGGAATAGGAATTTAAAGAATCTGCTCTTAGGCTACTTCAATTTCCCTTGTAGGGGCCCTGCCCCTCCTGCCCGATAGGGCCCAGACCCACTGTTAATAAAAAATTGAATCTCTTTCACCCATGACCATATTTGGCCAAAATTCAATCATTCTTAAAGGAGGGGTAGGATTTTAAATAATTTGTTCTTTTTCCCCTATTGGGCCTCACCACTCCTTCAGGGGCTGAGACCCATTGTTCATATCAAACTGATTCCCCTTCACTCATGAATGCTTCAGGCCAAATTTGGCCAAAATCCGATCATTTCTACAGGAGGAGAAGTAGGTTTTTCAAAGAATTTACATTATTCCCTTATTGGGCCCCTGATCCTCCTGCCTCAGGGGAATGAGACCATTCTTTCATACAAAAAAATCCCCTTCACTTAATAATGATACAGAACAAATCTGGGCAATATCCAATCATTCTTATAGGAGGAATAAGATTTTAAAGAATTTGTTTTTCTTCTATATCACCTATATGACTCCACCCCTCTGGCCCTAGGAGGTCTGAAAGCTAATGCCTAAACAAGATCAATTCCCATTTACCAAGGAATGCTACAGACCAAATTTGGGTAAGATACATTGATTTCAACAGGAGCAGTTGCAGTTTAAATTTACAAGTTTGGTAAAGCATCTTATGCCTTTCCAGGAAGAGTATTTCATTCTACCACACCTACGATTTGAGAAGAGGATTTTTGAAGTTTCAATCAATTTTACCCTTTTTGGCCCTGCCCCTCAGGCTGAGGTACATATTATTTACAATTTTGGTGCATCATTAGCAGTGGAAGGTTTTTGTAAAATTTACATGAAATTTGTTCAGGAGTTTTCCAACAAAAGGTGATTGCAATAGAACACCCTGAGACATCGTCTCAGAAGACCTATAAATGGTCTAAGCATTGTTAACTTGAAAAGGGTTCAGAATCAACAAATTTCTTATTAGTAAGCTTGAAATCATTTTAAAAAACACACACATGACAAGAGGCCTACAGGTCTTAACTATAAAGACCTATATATGAAAGAGGCCAAATAGGCATTAATTGTTCAACTACTGTACAGTTTACAAAGACAATGTCAGTTCATAAAAACATTTTCTACAAACTTGAAATCCTATTCCCTAAACATGCTACCACAAAAAAAAAAAAAAACACCATCACTTCAAACCTATTGCATTTTGAAAAAGAAATTTTTAAATCTCAACTCATTTGACCAAAGAGATCCTGAAAGTAGATCAAGGTCAATCATTTGAATAAATTTGGTAGACCTTCATCCAATCATGTTAAAGAAACAATATCAACAGACTGAACCTTTTCATTATCGTAAAGAAGTTGTTTGAAGATTCTAACACATCTGACCCTATGACCCTTAAGAAGGGACAAGGTCAACCACATGAACAAAATGGTAACCCTTCTTCCGAGCATGCTACAGGCCCAATAGCAGCACCGTTGGCTTTTAGGCTATTGAGAAGAAGTTGTTTAAACATTTTAACACGTTTGATGCCTGTAACCATGGAAGTGAGTCAAGGTCGTTCATTTTAACAAACTTGGTATCCCTTCATTACATCATGATACAGACCAAATATATGAATCAATAGGCCTTTTGTCAATCGAGAAAAAGTCATTTAAACACCTTTACTAATTGACCCCTCTGGTCTTTAAAAATGGTTATGGTAATTCATTTGAATAACTTTCCAGCATGCCCAAGCCCAATAGCAGCACCATACTGATAATGAGAAGAAGTCATTTGATTGGAAAGTTTACCCACCATGCCCGACAACAGAAGAAACACAATGACTAGAGGTCATCCTAACCATTCTGGTAAAATGACCTAAAAAGGGCATGAAAATGAATTGTTAAGTATTTAAATCAGAACCTGTTGCTATAACTCTGAACCTTTTTACAAAAGTTATTCTGTATAAACTGGCATCTGATTTCACTTTTAAACGTTTAGCTGTTATAAAGATATTCAATTTATCTATCTATAAAGCCTACTCTTAATAATATAAACAAGAGTACCGTGGACACAATATATGCCGCCACAAAATATAAAGATCAAGATTGGTCCTTTTAACATGTCTGTATACATAAGCTCAAAATGAAGTCTGTGAGACCAGTTAGCTTAGCTGGAAGAGACAGATACCTGAGCAAGTTTCATGAAAATCTGATCATTAGTTTAGGAGGAGTTACATTCACAAGGCTCCACTATGAGCAAGCTACAGATACAAAGTTGAAAATGGCATAAATCTTACAAAAATCAACGAACCAAAAAATTGCTCCTTCATGCACATCTACCCATTGTAGTAGTGACATTGAGCAAGTTTCATGAAAATCTGATGATTACTTTAGGAGGAGTTGTGTTCACAAGAAATGGATGTATGGATGGACGGATGAGATGACGCCAATATACGACAGCCTCCGGCAGCGTATAAAAATGAACAGTTGTATTGTATACATGAAAACCAGAAAGGACTTCTTAAAGGCAGGTATACTGGGGTAAACTCCATGACTTTCTTCAATAAAGACTCTCCTGGCTTATTATTACTAATAGAGTTTGAGAACACCTTTGGTTTGATATTTCACAAGATGTGCAAAAAACGCTATTTTTCACAAAGATTGCTATTCTCTCGTGTTACACATGACTTCTTTTTAGAAATGTTTGCTACAGATTGAGGAATATAGACAGGGCAACTCAATCTCATTGTATATTTTTTGGTAGTTTTGTAGAAATCTCAAGCATAATGATAAGAAATGACAACAATAACGGTTTCAAAACTGGGTCCAAAGAAACTGAATTATCTCAGAGTGCAGGGGCAATAAGAAAGAGGAAATTTCCAGGAATCAAATAGCAAAAATTACTGTGATGTGGGTCTGAAGATTTAGATAATTATTACAGATGGCTTGAAGATTTCCAGATGATATGATAATTAAACAGCAACAATTCGTGGAACTTCATCTCAAAAGACATTTAAGATTAGAGTAAGACATTCCTTTTCTATTGCTCAGATTCTTTATTCAAAATCTAAGGTTGTCAAAAACCAGTTTTTTCCCCATTTCCATAATCCTTCATTTGATCAGGCCAGTCAATGATACTGATCACCAAATGTGCGGTCTGAACAGCCATGATAAATGTGGCTGTGCAGTGTACTGGAAGAAGAACTGAAATGCAGCAGCTGTTTTGGTAGGAACAGCTATCCGAAACACTAGGCTATGTTGATCAGCTTTTGACCAGCAACCGTCCCTAACCCCAGCCATTGTCCTTGGCCAACTTCTCCGCTGGTCTCAACCAAAAGGAAATACTTAACTTAAATTGTAATTAATAGTACGAAGTACAAACCTTCATGTAAAACTTGCCCTTGGGGTTTGGAATTTTTCGGACATAAAACAGCATGTCATCTCGGGTGTCATCCCTGGACACTGAGCCACTGAGGAAGTATTTTGTAAAGAGGCTTGTCCAGAAATCATTTACAGTGCTGGGGACCAATTCAAACTCTGAAAAAATTATATCAATTAATGTAACTTCTATACCAAGACACTTTTATTCAGACTAGTAGAGTGGTAAAAAGCATATATATATATATATATATATATAAACCTGAAATGAGCAGGTTATTATTTACGATCTTCAACAACAATCATATGGCGTGGTGTAATTTCGCTGGTTATAAGGGTTGTAAATAAAATATACAATGAAGTACACTTTTAACTGAGAAATATAATCCAATAATCGAACCTCCGTCTGATGTAAACTTTACAACATCTCGGCATCGTTCCTGAATGATGGAAGTCAGCATCTGCTGAATCGAACTACTTGTTTTCATCTGCAGCTTATCTTCCCCATCCGCATCGTCTGCCATTTTTTCGCTGTGCGGGTGAACCATGTACACCGTACCCAGTCTCGGCCCCTAAACCTGTGCCAGTATTATAAGAAATAATTTATCTCTCGCGAATTCCAAATAATAACAGATTTCAGATTTTCTACATAAATATTCCTTATCTTTTTTAATATGACTTATTATTAAGATAATAGCAATTGTACACAAATGATGATCTCACATGTTCAACGTCACAGACTGAAGGAGTGACCTCTTAACACCGGTCCGGACATCTAATGTAAAAAAAAGATCCACGAGGCAAGATTAGATGTGAACATCTTTTCAGAGTGAAACTTATGTATTTTAAATCAGAATTATTCTTCCTAAATTTTCACAAAAAAAAAAAAAAAACTAACAAATAAACAAATTGACGCTTTAAGATATCTAGATAACGAAATCAATTGATTTGAAGTGTCAGATTTTAAAAATATTAAGTAAATTAACGTAGAGAATTTAAGATTTATTAGATTTTATCGTTCTCGAGATATAAATTGTTCTCATAATCTGTTGTTGGCTTTGGGTCTGTTGCCGGGACTGGTTGCGACGTACACTATTTCAACACAAGCTGTATTTACTTCCGGTTCCGGTAAACTGTCAAACGCTGCACTCGGCACACCTCGGCCGATTCCGTTCCTCCATCATTAATCAAATGTAAATATTGCACCATTCGTTTAAAAATAGGATAGGTCGAGAACAGGTATTCTAAAACATTATTCCATTGTAATGTGATTTTTGTTGTCCATTTAAAATAATAATTAAGTTCATGCACATGGGTTTGTGTTTGATGTTACTTCAGGTTGGTGTTACACGGCGACGGCGCGCCGATTTACCAAACAGTTAAACAAATACAACTCAGTACTGCATAACGCAACCAAACCCAAGTGTCGATTTACCCAACACTAACCAATAAATAGAGAATGCATGGTCAGTGTCTTAAACTATCAGTTTGGTGGGGTAAAGAGATGTACATGTAACCAAAGTGACATTGTTTTTTTTTACTTCATTTTTATATATATTTATAATTGGATTACACCAGAGACGTATATTTCACATATATATACGTCTCTGATTACACGTAGAATTCATTAGAATTTTACCATAGGTTTTTATTAAATTGCAGCCAGTCTTACTGAAATTTCCAAATGGCTATACTGACTAGTTTGAAATGTGAAAACAGTTTTCATTTAATTATTGTCTAACTGTCCACATAATATTAAACAAAACCAAATTAGCTGATTTAAGTGAATTTGATATTTTTGACTTTCTGGATTTTTATTTTATATTCATTTAATTCATTAATATTGTACAATGAAACATCATTTAATGACCCTCTCAGTATTATAACCACTTCACTATTACAGACATTTTCTTTCATCCCTATATATATCCTTGGTTCTCTCAATAATGCAACCTGCTTATAACAAATACTTACCCGTTTTGGTAGTCTTAAAGACCACTTATTACTGTAAATCATGTATTCTCAAGGGGCTCAACTTTTGTTTGTGAGTTTTTTTGTTTGTTTTTTTTTTTTTTTTTTTTTTCAAAATTGCTGTTTTGTGGACACTTAATTTTGTGGATAAATAATGCTTAGTCAATCTACTTATAATCTACTTACACAGTTCTTAGACATGTGGATCAGTGGATTAAAGAGTACCCACATAATTAATGAAAACAAACCCTCTACAGAAATTAGTGTTTCTACAGTATCAGCCATTGACCCCATGATTGCAACCCGATAATTCAAACTTAGCTTTTGTGTATGCATTACATTATTCATTTATTAGAATAATTATCTTACATTAAATGTTAACGTTAAAAGTTTTGTCCAATATTAAAAGGAATGGCCATGTAAGGGTACATTAGAAGTTCTACATGTGAAGTGCATACATTTATTTACTGGTACATGTATCATACAGAGCTAGCGTTCTTGAAAGGTCAATTTGGTGCACATTAATATCAAGACCACTCAGACCCCATAAGGCTGTGTTAATACAGGAGGTTCAATGTAGCTATGTATATATTAATGGTTATATCTTTCAATGCTTTCAGATCAGTTTTGATGGCAGATTCAAGTAGTAAGAGCCAGACAAGTTATTTCATCGCCAAGTGTGACAGTATAGCGTCTTTACGTAAATGTATTACCACATCCAGATGGGCATGTAGATGTCGCAAGACGCCTCCACACCCCAGTGACCTTCTCACTCGTGCCCGAAGTAACAGTGACTGCGTTATCATCATTTTCAGTGTAAACAATTGTCATGGATGGCATGGTTTCGCTGAAATGGCTAGTGACATTGAAATCCATAAGAGTGTAAATTGTTCTTCAGTGGGAACAAAAACAAAATGTGAATATTCCACGACCACAGAATATAGTTCTGAAAATACAGAACATAAACATGCCACTGATCAAACATGTACAGATTCTTATCAATCTGACTGGAATTTCTTTGATGTGAAATGGAAAACACATTTTTTGAATGACTTTGGTGAAAGGTGTCTCAGCTTCCAAGCAACAGATCAGGAACAGTATAGACTGATGGATGGGACACCTTTGAACAAAGCACGGAATTGGCAGGAAGTGCCATGTGATTTAGGAAATAATTTATGTATTTTGATTGATGAATTTTACAAAGAACTAAAAACCAAACAACAACAAAAAATAGAAATGGCAGCCAAAAATTTGCCTGTTCCTTTTTTTCATTCCTCAGATGAAGTAGATTTGATGAATGAAAATTGGATGAAGATATCTGAGAAAGTCACAAAGGAGCTTGGAAGCATTGTAATGGCATGTCCATTTGGTAGCAGGAGGTAGTGCTTTACAAGTTTCATGATTTATATTCCTCACACAAACTCAAAATTTATTTAAAGAGAAAAAAACTTATTGTTCCACTCACTTATAAAATCTTGAACTGTAGATGCACGAGAGACTACTCTATTACCCAGTTGTGTATTTCCACAGAGGAAAAGTATCAGAATGGTCATGTAAACTGCATACTGGTGTCTCATGAAATGAGATGCATGGCTATGTAATATGATTAAAATAGAAATTTTAACAGAAGACATAGATCTACCTCACATTCCCTACAGGATATTAAAAGAAATGTTAAAGTAAATCTAATCTTTACATGTACTTCATTTTTAGAGAATATAAATGACTTTAGAAAAAGTTATTATATATAATTGTATGACAATATCATAAATTTTGATAGCATATACAGATGTATATATGTCACTGAGTCAGAGGTAATACATGTATTATATATATATATATATTGTCAGAGTTAATACATGTATTATATATTTATACCTTGTCAGAGGTAATACATGTATTATATATATATATATTTTGTCAGAGGTAATACCTGTATTATATATTTATACCTTGTTAGAGGTGATACATGTATTATATATATATATTGTCAGAGGTAATACATGTATTATATATATATATATATTTTGTCAGATGTATATATATTTATACCTTGTCACATGTATTATATATATATATATTTTGTCAGAATACCTGTATTATATATTTATACCTTGTATAATATATATATATATATTGTCAGAGGTAATACATGTATTATATATATATATATATATATATTTTGTCAGAGGTAATACTTGTATTATATATATATATTGTCAGAGGTAATACATGTATTATATATATATATTTTGTCAGAGGTAATACAAGTATTATATATATATATATTTTGTCGGAGGTAATACATGTATTATATATATATATATTTTGTCAGATAATACAAGTATTATATATATATATTTTGTCAGAGGTAATACCTGTATTATATATATACCTTGTCAGAGGTAATACCTGTATTATATATATACCTTGTCAGAGGTAATACATGTATTATATATATATACTTTGTCAACGGTAATACAGAAACTATGTAAACATATGTATACATTTACCTACAAAGGATACCGATTTTCTGTTTCAGGTATAACCTACACACCCCTACAAGTGATATGGACATGTTCCTGGTGTACCAGGCCAGGACACATGACATTCTGGGCTTTAACCCTCCCAAGCAAACTCTAAAGGTAAAATGATAGAAAAAGGAATTTTTGAACAATCTTCAACGGGATTTATTATATATTATTGATATCAATTCTAAGACCATAATTATATCAAGATCTGCTTAATTTGTGATTAAATACACTAAAATTGTTTTGTTTTTTTAATTTCTTGTCAGAGTAATGAGCCTGAATCATGTGATTTTACCATTCATGAGATATTTCGTTTCGGAGAGCTCCTGATGTCCGGAGACCATCGCTGTGTGGAGACGTTATTTCTGGCAGATAGTTCACTGGTTCACACAAGTCTTCCATTCAAACATCTTCAACAAAATAAACACTTGTTTATAAACAGGTAATGGCTATTGTTACTAAATCCTCTATTCAAAATATAGGTAGAATATAAAAAATGTAAACATCTCACATATATTGAATGGATAAATGCTTATGGCATTTCTTTTTAGAAATTGCCTTGATAAGTACCTGCGTGATGCCTGTGGGAGCAAGGGAACAAAACTGCTTCATCGCTGGACAGATGGACATGAAGCAACTGAGGTCCTGTCCCAACGCATGGCTAAACTTGCTTACATCATCATACGTTTATTGCAGAATGCAGTGTAGGTTTATTTTGTTAATTCTCTGACAAGAAATAAACAAATTAGTAAGTGAAAAGAGGCTGCTCCATCTTAAAAAAGTAATTAATACTGACATGTTCATAAGATTGTAATCTGAATTCTACATAGGCAAAACAGACACAAAATATGGAAAAATAAAAGGAAAATTCGTTCAAAATATGACCAAGTGTTTCAGAGTGTAAGCCTCTTCAGCTTTATGGACAGCACCTGCTAAGTAAGCAATGCCATGTCCTCTAAAGCTCAATCTGATACTATTGGCTGTCAAAGAATTGGTCAACTCAATCCTCCATGGCTTTGGCAAAGGATTCCTAAGAAAAAACATTAGTTCTTTTGAATATATTCTGATTTCAGGGACATCGTTAGAGAAGGTTCAATAATGGTGTATCGACCCAAGGAATCTGCAGAGAGGAAAGCATTGATGAACATTCGACAAGGCAAACCAACAATAGGGGAAACCTGGGACGAGATTAATAGGTAAGTTATTATTGACAGAGGGGTTACACTATCAGTGGTTGTGGTTCATTCAAGCTAGTCATTTTCCAATAGTTACAAAAATAACGTGAGTTTCAGCAAGTGTTATATTAACTTTAGGAAAATAAATAACGAGAGTGAAATAAAGACCATATATAACAACCATGAGTTTATGTGACTAGTTTCTACCACAATAACAAGAGGCACAGGGGCCTGAAGAGTCATCTGACTATAAAGACCTGTATATATGCAAGAGGCCAAGTAGGCCGCAAAAATGCCCAACTACTCATCAGGTTACAAAGAAGTCATTGTTGGTTCATAAAAACATTTTCTGCAAACTTGAAATTATATTCATTATACATTCTACTAAAAAAATATCATTACTCCTGACTTTTTGCTTGATGGAAATCTTAAGATCAAATCTCATTTGACCCTGGAGACCTAGATGATATGCCAATGATAGGTCAATTACCTGAATATATTGGTAGCCCTTCATCCACTTATGTTAAAGAACCAATATTAACTGACTGGACCTTTTTACTATTGGGAAGAAGTGGTTTGAAGATTTTAAACACATATGATCCCTGTGACCTTTACAAAGAGAAAACGTCAATCACATGGACAAAACTGGTAACACTTCATCCCAGCATGCCACGGTCTGTGACCATGAAAGCGGGTCAAGATCATTGACATGAACACATTTCGGAGCACTTCATCCCAGCATATAACAGGTCAAATATCATCATTCTGGGCCATTTTGTTATAGAGAAGAAGCGGTTTAAATATTTTAACATATTAGACCCCTGTGACCATGACAGTGTGTCAAGGTCATTGATTTAAAACACTTGGTAGCCTGTCGTCTTAGCATGCTACAGGCCTAAGTTATTTAAAGATTTTAACGTATTTAACCTCTGTAACCTTGAAAGTTAGTCAAGGTCATTTATTATAACAAACCTGGTAGCCCATCATCCCATTAAGCTACAGGTACAATATTCGCACCCTCAGCCTTTTGGTTATTGAGAAAGTCATTTGAATGAAAAGTTTACACATGAGATACAACGACAGACGAAACATGATGGGTGAAACACAACGTATATTGGTCATCCTGACCCTACAGATCAGATGATCTAAAAAAAAAAGCTATTCCAAAACAGAATTGACATGTTCTCTACCTTAATGTGTTGCGCTTGCATCAGTTGGGGGTACATGTACACTGTAGTGATATGACCTTTTTTGAAATGCCGCTAATTAATATGCAAAACTGACCATTTCAGAAAAAACATTGAGATATTGTAACTGATTACAAATAATTAGAAATAAATTGGTTTTAACTTAGATACTGGACAATCAACTCATTTGCATGCCCTTTTTGTGTCTCTTTTAAGTATTTCAAGCTAAGCTTGCTAATATGTAAGAAATATGTTGATTTTGAACCCTTTTCAAGCTAACAATGCTTAGCTTAGCTTTTATCAATGATGTAACCCAATCCTTGATTGGCAGTCAAGTCTCTGATGTCAACCTATCAGGAAAGGTCAAAACATTTACCTCTGTGACATACCCCACTAAATAGTATACAGTATACATTGTTTCACTGAAGCATGCTTTTTTCGAATTTGTTTTATATTTTGCAAGATTTTGAAACATATATTAAACAAAAATACACTCCGACACATCTACATATATGATAAAGGGTAAAGGGGAATAAACTTTGTATAAACAATAGGTCCTAGGCCCACTGGGGTAGGGCCCATAGGAGAAATAGAGCAAATTATGCAAAGTGCTATCCCTCCCGGAGGAATGATTGGAATTTGCCCAAATTTTGCCTGGAACATCTTTTTATGCAGGGGAATCAGTTAGAAAATTATGCATTTTTGCCTCCTGGGGAAGGGCCCATTTATGGAAATACTTATTCAAAATCCTTGTCATTTTGTAAGAATATTTGGATTTTATCAAGATTTGGTCCGAAGCATCCTTGGGGAAGGCTAATGGATTTTGTAGGAATGATGGGTCTCTGCCTTCTGGGGCATGAGTGACAGGCCACAAAAGATGAAATAAAAAACCCAAAAAGCCTTCTTCTGAAGGCATGACAGGATTCTGTCTCAGTTTGGTCTGAAGCTTAAAAGGTTTGGCTGACCTCCGAGGGAGAGGATTGGGGCCCAGTAGGATATAGTGCATGTTGTGTGCTTGGATATTTAAAATTTCTTCTCTCTTCTAGTTTGGAGAAGCAATTTTATCTCAGCAAAATCAGATGAGAGATACAGGAACCATGGGCCTCTTGTGTCAATAAAGCCATGTTGACTGACCATGATGGATAGAGTCGGCAAGGTTTATGCTCCCTGATATCATACTTATGTATTTATTTTACTGCTGAGACTATTATATTTAAGATAATCAGTATAGATCTTTTAATTTTTTTTAAATCCGTCATAAGAAAATATTGTTTTAATTGTAATTTCTAATAACGTCCCCAATATAACATAAACAACCTGCTTTGAAGTAAAAGAAAAAAATCTTACCACCCAATGGTTATCCTATTAATTACTATATCATAAAGGTGTTTGCTGGAAAATTCCTAAACATTCAACTATTCAGTTATAATTTAATTTAAACAAATATCACAAGTACATCCAAATTATTTTTTCAACAAGTTTTTTCAACCTGACTTTAAGACCATTAACGTATTTGTTTGTTAAATTCATTTGAGTTATCTCAGACTTTTGGGGTTTTTTGGTTTGATTTTTATTTCCCTATAAAAGCTTGTAAAACTATTTTGTCGGTAAAAGTATTTATCAATCCAATCTGCAGTTAGTGTATTGTGTGAAATGAAGTTCCAGCGGCACTTCCGTTTAAGGCGGATCATATGTCCATTTTGATGGTTTTGAATTCTACCACACGCAATAACATAAAGCGCTAAAACATATTTTGTTCCTTCCAATATCACGACAGCCCCAGGCATGAGTTCATAGCGACACATTCATTTCTTGTTTCTAATGTAACGGAAGTGCTTCGTGAAATAATGAGACCGTGATTTGGTCAGTTTTGTCAGTAAGTGAAAACAACGATTTCCTTACCTCCTGTCACCACTGTGTTTTTTTCGTTTTACTCTCAGTTATATATGCGGTTTTTGAAATTTTCGAGTACTTTAGTTAAATCCGTTCCATTGTATGGAATTATATCATTCCAAGCAACTAATACATACAATGTATTTGACGAAATATTTTCAACGAAACATTTGAATATATGTCATGGTTGTGCTGAATTTAGGCATCATTAGATTTACGTGCATGCGGTATTTTAGCTGCTAAATCATAGTATCATTTTATATAACTGGTTTAAACATCATAAACAGTTAATATATTTCCGCTGAGGTGATTTCGACAAAATTATTCTGTCTGATTTCTTAAATACAGGATGAATATGTAATTAATAAGCATGCACAATGTAACATGTTCTGCACAAAAGATTTAGCTTTTAACGATTAAGCTGTTTTTGAGGCCATTTATCTTAGAATCTATGTTATTTTTCCAGACTTCTGTCATATGTAGAGGACAATAAGGCTAGCGTCCCGGAATATACAGATAACATGGCTAAATTTCTAGAGGACTGGCTGATTCAACTCAGACGAGAACACTTCTCATAATTCAAGATTTCATTTTAGATTTACAAGAAGATCCTGAATGACAAATTTCCGTTTTATCTTTATCAGATTAAAACATTTACCATATATTGTTTGCGTATTGTTTATGACATAAAGAACGTGCCCGACACGTGGTAGCCCACTGTAATTTGTTTTCCATCAAGTTAACATTCATCCGAGTTGTTACCTTCAAATATTGTACTACATTCTTGACACAGAAAAAACTGTCATATTCGTATTAAGCCATTTTTATTCAAACATATTTATAATAAAAACAGAACAAGACATTAAACAAATGCTATGATAATACAAATGCACATGACAACATCGCTCCGGAATTTCTTCCTAAACATTGCAGGGCGCGATTTTATTGACCATAAAACCATGACGTGATTAAAAAATAATGTTGTACACTTTGATTGTGAAAATAATAGTAACAGTAGTCATTACTTTTATGTACTGATCATATCAATTGTCATTGACACAGTATTATGATAGTAGGCATTGTGTCCGCCAATACAGTGCAAATCAGAAGGCGTCGTTAGAGATCTGGACCGTTCCTTTAACTACAGGTCTATGACCTGTTCTCAGACTGCCGTGGCGTCGCCAGGCGTAGTCGTAACGACGTAAGGAGTTCAATGTGTTGGCTTTTGTTGGTTTTCGGTTGACAAGTTTCAGTCGCCTAACAGCAACGCAGCAGCCTTTCGAGAGAATTTCCTCAATCTGACTTCTAATATCTTTCTGTCCGAGAAGACGATGTTCCCATTTATGTGGAGAGGTAAGTCCATGACAAATTTTGGAATACATTATATGTCTTTTGTGACCAGGAGCTGTTTGAACTGAAAACTCGTAAATGGAAGGCCTTGTCAGTTTCCCATCAAATATTTCTTTCCTTCTGTAACCAAGATGGGTGCCATTTCTTTTATCCCAAAGTTCACTATCAGTTTTATCACATGACAGACAGGTTTGCCACGCGCTCCATTTTCGGCCTGACAGAGAAAAGTTGGATTCAGACACATTTTCTCTTCTCAGTTTTGGTGAAACTGTTTTCTAAAAAGGAAAAAAACAATAGATTGTTACATGTGATTATATCACTAATATATATTATGGATAATTTAATTTCACGAAGTCTGAAATTAATAATGATACCTCGATAACACCGTTTGCAGTGCACATAAATTAAATCAATAACTCGTCTATTCGTAACATGGATATGTTTAAATAATCATTTAATTATGTACCTTGCCTACTGTGCGAGGCTTTCCTGTTCGGGTAGGCTTTGATCCCAACGATGGTTTTCCTAACTTTTTCTTCATACTTGTTACAGACGAGACTTTTGTGAGGGAAGGCATTTTGATGGGAGGTGGAGGTTTTGTTACAGTTGTATCCGTCTCTGTGACGTCATGGCTACTGTCAGTCCGTCGGAGAACTCCAAATAACGAGTCCAAATCTTTGTTAATTCCCGTGATAGCTTCTCTTGCCCTCACTTCCTTTTCGTAATCCTGAAATGGAGAATACATTTCGAGTCGAGTTTCGATCACTTATATCTTTTTCAATCTTGAAAACAAATGAATCACATCAGATTTGAAATTTACCAACGAAATGTTTTATTGAAAATATTTTATACTTGTCATTTTTAAAAAGTGTAAAAAAAAGGGTTGATATGATTACACACCTGTAAAAATTCAGAGCCTTTTTCTCTGTAGCAGATCGACATGATAAAATCGAAGATATTGGTGAACTGGGCAAGTTTTAGGTAGTGACCTCCGGTGACCTTGGCTATGGTCTGATAGAAGTGGTCTGCTCCTGTGTAATTCTGACACTGCACGGAATAAATTCGGACACCCTGAAAAATCAAAAGGAAACATTCTTAGAGGCAATGAATCAAACTTATACATGTGTGAACTACTGAATCAAATAAGGAAGTAACACTAAGATGTTTCTTTGACAGTCCTCATTTTTAGGTGCATGATCATAAATATACTCACCATTTTCGATAGATCTTCTGCTTCCGTCCTCCAGTTCAATTTCATTGTGTTCTGTGGATAACTTGGTTTATGTGGGTTATTGTCACCCATCATCACTAACGCTCTCTGTGATCCTGGCGTCCAGCTCAAACTCTTGACCTCGTGCAGAACAAGTTCATAGCACTCGTCTGCGTCGCCACCACCCGTTCTCCCTACATCATTCACCCACTTGCACAAAGTCGACACGTCGGTAGAGAAGTCGATGTGTTTCGTGATGTAGTTGTTTTTGTCACAATAGTCGCCATGAGCGAAGACGGCTATCCTGATGCCGGGGATGTCGGCCTGGAGACGTTGGATCATGTCCTGGATACGACCACGGACCTCATCCAAGCAGCTGTACATTGACCCAGTGGTATCAAATGAGAAACATATTTCCTGTAGTCCGCCTGGGGGTAGAGCCATCTTTTTTTCTGGAATTATTTGTTAACTTTGATTAAAAGAAATACATTAATCATTCATTTTTTAACTATTGTTTTCTATCTTTTTTTACACTAAAGATGGTTAGCGAAAAGTATGTCAAGAGTATTCATACTTCTTTCTTAACTATTAATAAAGATTTGACATTTTAATAAACACTGCATTTTATAACCATAATTTTATATATTACAGATGCGAAGTAAACGGGCACTGACAACGAGCCTTTTCAGAGTTGAATTTTAAAGTTGAGTGTATAGAATACAAAACTTTAAAACAAATACTTTCGCTGAGCAATTTGAAATTATTGTATTGTTTCTGAACGTAATATGTTATTTTATGCATTTAAATATATATTTATATGATACAAATACTTGTACACAGTATCTATAAAAACACTGTGTTTATATAAGTTATTTTAATATGAATATGCGATGTCAGTAGATATAGAACCTTACCTGAAGCACAGCTAGTATGTATATGGGGAACTCTGCACGGTGGCAATAGTTGTTATGTGAAGCTGTGTGTATTGGCGAGCTTATATATACACTCCGACCTGCTGACGTCACATCAGAACGAACACGAATAGCTGACTCGTCGGAAACGAGATTGAACTTGTCCAGGATCCATTCATAATTTTATACGTCAGTGTGAAGAAAGAGTTCCGAATGAACTACAAAATAATGTAGATTAGATGTTCCGAACGGGGTTTATTGATTACTCTATAATAAAGACTCATGAAAGAAACTTGTTTTCATATCATTGAAATGATCGAATTAATTTAAGGTCAATTTTGTCATTAGTGAAGCAATATATTTTTTTCATTTTAATTAAATTTTCAAATTGATTTACAAGGATTTCGTGTAATAATATAAAAGAGAATTTATTGACAAAATTTTCTACTCAAACGAATGAAGAACAATTGTAAGTTACGTACATTGTACCTGAGTTTAAGAATATCTAGATGATGTTGCTAGTATTTTCAGTTGACGTAAGTACTACTTCAAATATTTTTTTTAAATCCTGACAGCGAACCGTTGCGAAGGTGAGATATCGTTATAAAGTAGTATCTCACAGGTACAATTTATAGAAGGAGGGAATCGGAGGGTATATCATATTTCTTTGTGTTGTATTCGTTGATTTCGTTTTCCAGGTTAACCACGTTCTGTTTAGAGAATTCTACATGCATTATTCACTTAGAACTACCAAGATTAACAACTTGGTGTTTATGATTAAGTACCCCTCCTTAATACATTTCTTTTTCTCCTTAATATTTACAAGAGTATACGGTGTAAACTTCCTCATATTAGCCGTTGTTTCGTCTATTTTACTTGAAGTTCCAAACTTTTCAACAGGTATATATCTTTCATCGTTTAATGTTATTTTAACATTAAGCTTATTAATGTAAAGGACGCAAGTAAAAAAAATATTCTATATAAGAATTAACACCAAAAAGTATCTTTTGTGTCGATAAAAAGGGAAATCAGTTAAGGTGATACTAACTTGATGATGTTGAGGTGATGTTGACATTGTGAGAACGTGATGCTGCCACTGTGATAATGGCGTGATGTTGAGACTGTGATGTTAGGGTGACGCTGACGTTGTAATGTTGAGATGATGCTGTCGTTGTGAAGATGGTGATACTGAGACTGTGATCTTGAGGTAACGCTGACGTTGTGATGTTGAGACTGTGATTTTGAGCTGATGCTAACACTATGATGGTGAAAGAGCTTTAAATACAATCTTTTGAGCTTTCTGAACAATTTTCTTTGGACTGAGATGGAAGGTCTGATCATTTGCTAACGTTTCTGTAAAGGAGTGGTTATATATTTTGAATTTTGGAATTGGAAAGTTGATTAAATTTGGGTACATCGTTTGTCCTAAAATAAAATTGAAGAAAAATTGAATCAGTGGAAGATTAACTATATGTAACATAGAAATTTCTTTTCGTTACTTTATCCCAACCTTGGTGGTATAAAAATACATCGGCATGGTAAACTAAGTACTAAATAAATACAACCTTTAATAATTTTCTGACCACTAGGACAATTTAGAGCTAACATTGCCATTTTGTACACAAGAAATTTGACGGAGACACTTCTGTCATTGATGATCATAAGGTATTTGGAATAAATCTGAAATTATATGGTGACTATACTGTTTCCTTCTAATTGTAAAATATAGATGAAAGATAGGAGATTTTAGTCACTGACGATAGGGCTTAATGAAATGAACATCAAAATTATCGTTGTCTTGTGAGAAACACGTTTGGAGTTACTTATGAGACAAAATAGTAAAGTGCTTGTTGTCAATTGTATATGTAAAATAGACTGGTTCACCTATCTATTGTGTTATATGAGTATGTGTTGCATTGATAGGTACTAGAAGGAACCTCCAATATAATGTATAGTACTGATGCCTTATATACAAATAGCCTGCAAAAGAGTAGTAATGTAAGGAATTTAAATGGGACGTTGTTTTGATGACAGACTCAGCTGACTCACACATGCGACGCTGACGTATGAGACCAATATTCCTTGTCAAGATGAAGTTGAGTTGTTGGTTCACACAGCAATCCAAAATTCAGTCGTTTGACTTCCCATGGTTTTCCGGAGATGACCAGGGGTATGCAAAAAGATAATCACAATCACATCCGATATATTAGGACTACCAAAGACAACTAAAATGTAAAGGAAGAAAGGAAAGATAAGTGTCTTTTTGTCGGTACAAAATTACACCTAAACACTAAAATAATTAAAATGTGGTAAGTAGAGAGAGAAATCAACCATCGTCATCAGCGATTTCTATGTGTGGTCCGCAAGTTATTTTTCTATTCTACTGAAAATTGCTGAATTGCTTTCTCTAACACGAAACTCTGAAACCCATTGCAGGTAAAAATTTTCTATGTTCCCAGTTTGTTTGCGTATGACCATCCCATTTAACCAAGTATTACCAAACCTTAATTTTTTTCATCTGGAGTTTTCTTATCATAATAAGTTTGTTGATCATGATCATTTTGAGGTAAGGAATTGTTTTAGTTGGACTTGGGGTGGTTGCTAGGATGGAGAGGCTGGAGTACTCTGTTTGAATTATCTTTTGATCTTGGCTGGAGCTGACTATATAATCTGTTATTGATACTAATACTTATACGGTGAAATATCATAAAATGTATACAGTAAATTATACGGGTTTTTTGGCACTTGGTATTCAGACACATATATATCTCTAGATTGATATAAATTCTTGCATTTACGAGTTACGAGTATACAGTATACATTGTTTCACTGAAGCATGCCTTTTTAAAATTTTGAAATATATATTAACAAAAAACACTCCGACACATTCACATATTTATGATGAACGGTAAGGGTGAATCAATTTTGTATAAAAAATAGGTCTAAGGCCCCAGGGGGTAGGCCCCAATCGGAGAAAATCGGGCAAATCATTCAAAGTGTTATTCCTCCTGTAGGAATAATTGGAATTTTCCCAAATCTGGTCTGTAGCATCCTTTTTAGTAGTGAAATCAGTTTAGTATAGTGTCGCATTTCTGCCCTCTGAGTTGGGGCCCATTTAGGGAAATTCTTAATCGAAATCTTTCTGACATTGTAAGATGACCAAAATTTGGTCTGAAGCATCCTTGGGTGAAGACTAATGGGTTTAGTATGAATGGTGGGCCTCTCAATCGAGGATATGAGTGGCAGGCCACATAAAATGAAATAAAAAAAAATGGAAAGCCTTCTTATGTAAGAATGGTAGGATTCTGACTCTATTTGGTCTGAAGCATGAATGGTTTGGCTGACCTCTGAGGGACAGAGCATTGGGGCACAATGGGATAAAGTGCGTAATGTGTGCTTGGATATTTAAAATTTCTTCTCCGTTAGTTTGGACGAAGCAATTTTATCTAAGCAAAAACCAGATGACAGATACGGGATCCAGAGTCTCTTATTTCAATACAACAATGTTGACTGGCCATAGTAGAATAGGGCGACATCATGATTTTGTATATATTGAACTGCTGAAATATTATATTTAAGAAAATAAGTTTAAATAAGTTAAAATCTTTTATTTCTTAAAAAATCCGTCTGGAGAAAATATTAGGTTTTATTGAAATTCTTGATAACGTTTCAATATTACATAAACTGCCTGCTTTGAAAGAAAAGAAAAAAGTCTAACCTTCCAATATTTATCCTGTTAATTATTGTACCAATTATTGTGTTTGCTGGAAATTTCCTAAATATTTAATCATAATTAAATTCAAACAGATATCACAAGTACATTCAAATAAACATTTTTGCAACCTGATTTTAACACCATTACCGTATATTTTATCTAATCAATTGGAGTTATTTAAGACTTTTAGTTTGATTTTAATTTCCTTATGAAATTTATTTTGTTGGTATAAGTATTTATTAATTCAATCTGCAGCTCTTATTGAGTGCTGCGGTAAGTGTATTGTGGAAATGAAGTTCCAGCGGATCATGTGTTCAGTTTGATGGTTGTGAATTCTACCACACGCAATAACATTAAACGCTTAACAAATACATCTGGTCCCTTCCAGCACCAGGAAAGTACACCACAAATTGTGTCAAATAATTTCATAGCGATACATTCAATTTTTTCATTTCTTGTTTCTTATGTAACCGTAGTGCTTCGTGAAACAATGAGACTGTGATTAGGTCAGTTATGTAAGTACGTAAAACCAATTATTTCCTTACCTCCTGTTACCGCTGTGTTTTTATAAGTCTTTAGACGTTGGTGATCCAGATCGTGATATGCTTTTGCAATTAAAATGTTCATGTTTACATACAAATTAAGAAATCCATCACGGCAGAAAAAATAATATGCCGTGGTTTTTTTGTATTTTTTTGTTTTTTTTTTTTTCAATTTTCGAGTACTTGATAAAGTCCTTCCCATCGTATGAAATTGTATCACTTCGAGTAACTAATGCAGACAATGTATTTAACGAAATAGTATCAACGAAACAACGAAATATTTGTCATGGTTGTGATGAATTTAGACTTCACCATCATTATATTTACATGCTTTTGGTATTTTGAACTACCTGCTAAATTATAGCATCATATTATATTGGAAACTGGTTAAAACAACGTAAATAGTTGATATATTTCCACTAAGGTGACTGTGATTTCAACAAAACTATTCTAATTTCTTAAATACATGATGAATGTGTAATCCATAAGCATGCACGATGTTGTAACATGTTTTGAACAAACAAAATTAAGCTGTTTGGGAGGCGAGGCCATGTAACCTAGTTTCCGTGTTATTTTGTCAGACTTACTTCTGTCATATGTAGAGGACAATAAGGCAACGTCCCAGGATAATCCAGATAACGTGGCCAAATTTCTGGAGGACTGGCTGATTCAACTCAGACGAGAACACTTCTCATAACTCCAAATTCCATTTGAGATTTACAAGAAGATCCTGAATGACAAAAGACATTTATCAATTTAGATATCTGTTTTGACTTTATCAGATTAAAACAGTTTCTATATATTGTTTGTGTATTGTTTATGACATAAAGAACCTGCCCGACACGTGGTAGCCCACTGTAATTTGTTTTCCGTTGAGTCTACATTCATCCGAGTTGTTATCCTTCAAATATTGTATTACATTCTTGACACAGAAAAAAACTACCATATTCGCATTAAAACATTTTTATTCAAACATATTTATAATAAAAACACAACAAGACATTAAACAAATGCTATGATAATACAAATGTACATGACAACATCGCTCTGGAATTTCTTCCTAAACATTGCAGGGCGCGATTTTTACAGACCATGAAACCATGACATGATTAAAGATAATGCTGTACACTTGTGAAAATAATAGTAGCAGTTATCATTACTTTTATGTACTGATCATATCAATTGTCATTTACACAATATTTTGATAGTAGCCATTGTGTCCGCCAATTCAGTGCAAATCAGAATGCGTCATTAGAGATCTGGACCGTTCCTTTAACTACAGGTCTATGACCTGTTCTCAGACTGCCGTGGCGTCGCCAGGCGTAGTCGTAACGACGTAAGGAGTTCAATGTGTTGGCTTTGGTTGGTTTTCGGTTGACAAGTTTCAGTCTCCTTACAGCAACGCAGCAGCCTTTCGAGAGAATTTCCTCAATCTGACTTCGAATATCTTTCTGTCCGAGAAGACGATGTTCCCATTTATGTGGAGAGGTAAGTCCATGACAAATTTTGGAATACATTATATGTCTTTTGTGGCCAGGAGCTGTTTGAACTGAAAACTCGTAAATGGAAGGCCTTGTCAGTTTCCCATCAAATATTTCTTTCCTTCTGTAACCAAGATGGGTGCCATTTCTTTTATCCCAAAGTTCACTATCAGTTTTATCACATGACAGACAGGTTTGCCACGCGCTCCATTTTCGGCCCGACAGAGAAAAGTTGGATTCAGACACATTTTCCCTTCTCAGTTTTGGTGAAACTGTTTTCTAAAAAGAAAAAAAAAACAATAGATTGTTACTTGTGATTATATCACTAATATATGTTATGGATAATTTAATTCCACTAATTCCGAAATTGATAATGATACCCCGATAACACCGTAACAATGCACATAAAATTAAATTAATAAGTCGTCTTTTCATAACATGGGTATGTATAAATAATCATTTAATTATGTACCTTGCTTACTGTGCGAGGCTTTCCTGTTCGGGTAGGCTTTGATCCCAACGATGGTTTTCCTAACTTTTTCTTCATACTTGTTACAGACGAGACTTTTGTGAGGGAAGGCATTTTGATGGGAGGTGGAGGTTTTGTTACAGTTGTATCCGTCTCTGTGACGTCATGGCTACTGTCAGTCCGCCGGAGAACTCCAAATAACGAGTCCAAATCTTTGTTAATTCCCGTGGTAGCTTCTCTTGCCCTCACTTCCTTTTCGTAATCCTGAAATGGAGAATACATTTCTAGTCGAGTTTCGATCACTTATATCTTTTTCAATCTTGAAAACAAATGATTCACATCAGATTTGAAATTTACCAACGAAATGTTTTATTGAAAATATTTTATACTTGTCATTTTTAAAAAGTGTAAAAAAGGGTTGATATGATTACACACCTGTAAAAATTCAGAGCCTTTTTCTCTGTAGCAGATCGACATGATAAAATCGAAGATATTGGTGAACTGGGCAAGTTTTAGGTAGTGACCTCCGGTGACCTTGGCTATGGTCTGATAGAAGTGGTCTGCTCCTGTGTAATTCTGACACTGCACGGAATAAATTCGGACACCCTGAAAAATCAAAAGGAAACATTCTTAGAGGCAATGAATCAAACTTATACATGTGTGAACTACTGAA